AGGTCATCGGGGGGTTAAGTGATGTTCAACAGATAACGACCGATCATCGGTCGATGTTCGACCAAACATTAGCCCGTAGTCGACCGCTGTACGAACGATGTTCACCAATGTATGAGCGATGTGATATACATCGGCCGATTATCCTGGAACATCGTTTTATGCTTAGCAATGCATCGCTGAACCTTTGTAAGTCCGGCCGGCAACCGCGCCATTTTTCTCATAAAACGCATTGGTTGCCCATCGTATGCACATCGCTGGATAATGTGACTGATACTTTAAGAACGACTGGGCCGATGTGGACCGATGTTGGGGTATCGTTAACACCACGGATTACGGCTACCGGCCGGGAAATGTGACCTAGGCATTATACGCTATGCGATATCACATCTATCAGGAAATATATAAATATTATATTGAAAGTACACAACTAGGTTCACTTTATGCACGAAATGGCCCTGTTCTTAAAAAGACTCACTGAATAACAACTGATGTCCGATTTTTAACATTAACCAACATTACACTAACAATACTAGTCCCTTACCGGAAAATGTAATCTAGTTCCCTTAAAATGAAAATACTATGATTCTATCAAAATTCATTGAGGTGGAATGAAAGACAAATATGATCTAGCATTCATCAAGATTAAGTCACATACCAAATATCAGCTCAATATTTGCAAGCATTTAGTTTCAGTTAAGTTGAGCCGGTGTTATTTTATTAATTATTTTTTATATTATAAAGGAATGTATAGCAAAATAATTGGTAGTCTGTGTCCTATGAGGTCAAAGGTCAAAACTCACGTTAATCAATTTATTGGCACTTTTTGGATAATTTGGAACTAATTATGCAAATTGTTGACAAATTTAATGGAAAAAAAAATTATTTTGGAGAAGTAAAATGGATTTGAATTATTGAAAAGGGGGAGGGGGCACATGCTTAGGTTGTCAAAGGGTATGAAGTAATGTGTGTAATTGATGTGTATCAAAAAATTATGTAATATGAATTTTGATTCTATATATAATTTGTAGGTGATATAGAACCCATTCCTCACTTATCCTGTTATTTTGAATGTCAAATGGAGTTCAAAATCAAAGGTATGTTTTTAACATTTGATTATTCAGATTACACTGCTATTAGTAGGATAGAAATACATATTTTCTCAAAACTTTGGCTTCTTGGTGTCTGTAATTATAGTTGACACAGTTACTTATTGACTTGACACAATTACTTATTAATTATGAATGTGAACTAAAGTTTAAATGCTTTAAAATTTATTTTTTTTTCAGTGGGTCATGTCTAGCTTACTGATGTGGGATTGCAAGAAGTTATATAGCCTGGATGGGTGGCAAAATGAAAAATCAGGCCAGTTGCCAGTCAGAAGTGAACAATTTTGTACCAGTAGCAGAGAATAATCATTCAGAATACAAGATGCAGCTGTCAACAATATTACAGTCGACAACAGCCAAATTAATTAGGTATATATAATTAACTGACTCTTAAGTTTGTCTTATTTTTGTGCTTGATTTCTTTTTTTACACTGTTTTCATCTGTCATCATCATTCGTTGCCAATTAATATATATATATATATACTCTCTAAAACTTTCTTTTTCCTTCAGCTTTTGGAATCGAACATCTGCTGTCTGATTGCTGGCACTGATCTTTGATTGTCCAAGACAGGGGAGGTCAGTAAGGTGCTCAACATTTTATATGGGATGTTTGGTCCTACTGACTTCTTCTACTCTTGTACGTGGCATCTTGGACATCGTTGTCAGTGGTCGCATATCAGACAAAATCATTCTTTGACAAAGACAGGTGTTTTTAAGATTTTGGATAGACAATGTGCAGAAATAGTGTTCCACAGGACAGACAGAATTTATGTACTCCATTTTAATAGAACCTCCCACCCCCGTTCTTAAAAGTCAACTTCCAAGCAATTCCAGGAGTGATTATATGTGATACAGGCATGGTGTGTATTTTCTATGTTGAACCATCAAAGTATATAGAAATGCTTTTTAATTATTTTGTATTTTTATACCTTTATATTTCCATTTCTAAATTTTTTCTCTATAATAACCCTTTGAAAGTAAGCAGAGTTGATTTCCTGATCATTCTGCCGGAATGTAAATTAGGCAGGTCGTTAGGTCAGCAGCTAAGGAAGCCTAATACGCATGCAAATCTCGTTCGCATCTGTCTCTGTGTCTGACGCTAAGGAGGCCTTATATGCATGTAAATCTCGTGCGGCTGCCTTTGTGTTTGACGTCAGTGTGCGAGGACTGTTGAAATTGGCATATGGAAGTCCTCGTGTAATTTAAATCGATTAGTCTACATTCTTAATGTCTAAGCCTACAATTTTATTTCACAATGAAATGGAAATATAAGGAAACACTGTCTAGTTTTGAGAGTATGCCACGGACATCAACTATAGTGGGAAACATGGGATAATTTTAGCATAACGGGCTTCGCCCGTTATGCAAATTATGCCATGTTTCCCACTATTGTTGATGCCCTGGCATACTCTCAAATCTAGACAGTGATTTCTTAAACAGTGCAGAGTTGCCTCCCCTATTTCTACAACAGCCCGAAGAATGAATGTAGGTAAAATGCATATTTAAATTCCTTTTCTTGTAAACTCTGAATAATAAAACCCAAATTTTTATAGAATTTATGGTAAGTAATATCAAATCATGCATATTGCTACAAGAAATACCCATCAAAGAAGTCTAAATATGACCAGGGATAATCCAATTAGAGTAGTAAGTACCACTTCCTGACAGAGGCTGAATCGACCATAATCTGGTTATAGTAAAGGTATTAATCACTTTCCCTTAACTCTTATACCAATTTTTTATAGCATATATATTGTAGATTTTTTTTATATTGGTTTTCCTAAAATTAAAATGTGCTAAATATTTTTATTTTTAATATTTCTAAGAATTTTATGCATTTTAAAGATATTTTTTTGAAAAATTGTTTAAAATATTTACTTATGCAATAGGTTAAGTTTTGTTCTTGAAATTTGTGAAGGACGTATTTATCTAGTATACAAAAAATATAAGATAAGAAATTTACTGTCATGTATGTGAGTTGTGAGCATTTCAAATTTGAGATCTGTGCCTAATTCTCATTTTACCCTCTGATTTAAGGTGTTCCAGCACATCAACTAAAGGGCCATAACTCTGCTTAGAAATCATCAATTCCAATGAAACTTCACCAGCCAATTTGTATATACAAAAGACTCCAGCATTTTAATTTCAGCAAAATCAGGCAAGGTTTGTGTCCTTATTAGGTTACAGACTACTAATTTTACCCCTATTTCATTTACCACGCAAAGAGTTCCAGTTTAGAAATAGAGGTTTTTTTTCTTCAAAATTCTTTGGGGTGCTTATGGTGTGGAATGATGTTATTTTTGGGCATAGATGGAAAGAAGAGGGTTTGAAAAAAAATATAAAGTTGATAATTTGTGAAATTTTGCATATAAGCGCGTAGTATGAAGTAAGTAAAGAGGCCCATATTTACCCTTTCCCCGAATAGAAAGTTAAAAAAAGCAGGGTAGGGGTAATTGCGATGCCATAAAAGGACTTGCAGACTTTGAATGTTGCTGAGAGCTTGAAAAATTTTAGGACTTGAATTAGTCTTACTCTGTGCCAAGTTTCGGGTAAGTTGAGCCGGTGTAATTTTTTAAATTATTTTTTTATATTAGAAAGGAATGTATAGCAAAATAATTGGTAGTCTGTGTCCAGTCGGAGGGAAATCTCTGGTTTGACAGGTCGAGACTAAAAACAAAAGGGAATCGCAGATCGGTGTTTGCATTTCTGATATAGGTAGTTTCCTACAGAAATTACAGATATCAAACAATATGTTGTGTGAAACTGAATGATCTTGAATTTTGTAGAAAAATGTGCATTTGAATAAATTCACCCTAGAATTAAAATAAGAGCATTATTTTTTTAATGATGTTATAGATCAAGGTCATCACGTTGTTCTTTGTATTCACATCAAGATAAGAAACTAAAACTAACAAGAGTCTTAGGGGTCACGTAGCTCGCCTGAGCAACTAGCTAGGTAAATGCAAACATCAGTTCAGTGCGGTCGTTCCTGAACGTGTGAGTGACGTTTCCTCAAACATAATTGCATTGCAGATGAATAAATCAACTATTTAGGGGAGAATAGCTTTTTCTTTACACAGTGATTCACAATTGCAGTTGAAAAAAATGAACGCTTCTTTTTGGAAAAATAATATATCCTGAAGAGAAGGGGGTGTTTATATAAAATTACGTTTATTAAAAAAAACCCTGGCATTTAAGCACTGAAACAAACATACTTCTTTTTGAAAGAGCAAGAGCCACATAGAGCAATTTTTGGCCCAAAGAAAAATCATAACTCTAAAGTTTAGGTTCAAAATGCAATATTTATCACTTGGACTTTTGGTAACCATGTATCTATCTCTACTTTATTTTCTAATATGAAATATTAATGGGAAGGAGGGTAACACGTTATTCACTGATATAAGGACAGGGACATTTTATGCATAAAATGAACTTAGCTCTTTGTTATTTCTGGAAAATGGTGATAAACTGATATATATGCAGTTGCTTATAATTACCATTGATCACCATTTGTAACCAGAGAATACCATTGCCATTTCCTTTGGCAAGCGTTGTTATAACGTTTGGCTGTTCATAAGTTTACCAACTTGAATATACCAATAAAAGCTGTCAATTTTACTTTGCTTTACATTGGTAATAAAGATAGTCAACGGCAAAATCATTACTTATACCAAAGGAAAAATATAAACACATCCATCATTTGATTGAAATCCTTTATTTGTAAACTGTTTGGTAAAATTCAACATGTCATGTTATATACATTTGAATTAATCAAGCTTTCATACATGTAACATACAATGCTTGAAAATAAATTTCCTTGTGGCAAATTCAATCTGATTTATTCATAACCATTTCCTTAATCATATTATATACTTTTTGGATATGGTTGTAAAGCAACACTTCAAACAAAATTTATTTATTTATGCAAGATTTATAATTTATTCCATGTGCAGAATTACGTAAGTTTGCTTTTTGATCGAGAAAACCATTTTTAATTTCAATGCATTCAACCGTTTTGTTAATTTCATGATATCTTGAATATTACTGATTTAGAATAATTCTTACTTACCTGTAGGTTTGGTACAGAAAACTGTAGCACAAATTTTCAGAAGGTTGGAGGCGTATGTGAAGGTATGTGAAGATTTACATGTAAGACATTTTATGGCTATGAAATTCAAGTAGAAGAATGAATGAAACATTTTAAAATATTTTCCATAAATGAAATATCTAGACAAGTAAAAATCATGTCATTCAGAGTGTCCTCCTGGATATTTTGGACTTGAGTGTAAGCAAAGTTGTCCACCACCAACATTTGGTAAATTATGCGGAGACACATGTTATTGTGCACATAATGAATGTAACCCTACTTATGGATGTTCCAAAGAAGAAAAGGGTAAGAGCTGCAGTTTCAACCTTTATTTTTTATTATTATTATTTCAAAGTACTGAATTCTTGTGCTGTGACTCAGTATTTGTTTTGTACACATGCAGGTGGTCTCCGATCGTGTCTTCAAACCAATCAAAAATTAACATTACTTATACAATAGACATAAAATATATTTGTATGATTTTAACAAGTGTTTTGACACTATCTGAGTAGTTGTAATTAATTTTTGAATAGAAAGGAAACGTAAAATAATGATAAACAGCCTTAAGTGTTTGCTTTCAATTTCTTTTTTCAGACACAAAAGGTTGTGCTGTCGGGTATGCTACTTTTCTGATTTCTAACCGTATGTGTAGTCTGACTGAATGCATGTTTTAAAATAAAAGATATAATTAGACATTATTCCTTTGAATTTTTTTTCAACAGGTCGCTCAAGGAAAATAACCAAAAGTGTTGTTCTAACCACTACAAAGTAAATCATACTTGTCAAGGTACAACTTTATTTTGTTTATTTTGGCATATTTTTCCATCTTCTCAAAATTTGCCCTGATGTCTCCATATATTTAGATATTTAAGAAATTCTTTTATCTTTGTTTAAGTTTTTCATGAACATTGTAAAAAAAGTGACAGTTTCTTAAACCTTTATGGAATTTCTAGAGGTCCATGTTTACGCCCTGTTGTCAGATGTATATTGTTTGTATTTTTTATTAAATCGATCAATGTTCGTTATTTTAATTGTTCCATATTAATAATTGTTATAAATAGATTTTACCATGCAGAAGTTTACAAAATGTTTGAACTAAATTATGAAAAATAAAACAATTATAGTACTTTCTTATTCTAGCTTGTCCTCCTGGTTATTTTGATTTAGACTGTTCGTCCCAATGCCCCCCATCAAGATATGGATTTATGTGTGCTTACCTGTGTAATTGTTCCAATTCTTATTGCAATCATGTGACTGGATGTCTTCTAACAAGAGGTATCCATATTAATGATTGCATTGAATCAATGATAGATGTCTTGTTTTGTTGGTAAGCAGTGATTAATGTTCAAAAGATTAACTTTTTCCATTTTCATATTAATATCTTTAACATGTGCATGTACGAGGGGCAGTCAACAAGAATATTTATTTATGTTATGGATTTTATGCTACACGTATGCTTATAAAACTCATATGAAAATTAAATAGCGTGATATAGGAATACGTGCTAAAATTTCAGCTTGATTTGTTTAAGTTTGCAAAATTGTCAGTAAATAAAATCTCCTGCCGTTGAATTCGATGAAGTATATAAGTCAGGAATAATTTTTTCTCTTGTCTGTTTAAAATTTCCTACGTTTATATTTGTTTTGCTAGTTGTAAAGCCGTATAGAGTACCAGAAAATGCATCTACTTTCTGAAGTTCTTTTATGAGATTAATTGTTAAGACATTTCATACCAAATGTACATGTGTACAATTAAATTTTATAGAAATTTTATAAAAAGGTAAAAAAAAAATAAAACATAAAATTTCTTATTGCATGACTACATTACATGTATTTTATATCTGATGATAAATGTAATTTGAAATAGAAAACAGACGTGCCATTTGACAACCCGGAAATTAATGATTTTCTCTAAATATCGCAAATTCGAAATCTATGTTTCCTTTAATTTGTCGTAAACTGGCATATTTCGTGAGATTTCTCTGTTTGTAAATGATTTTAGTATCAAACTTCAACCAGTTTCCTGAAACCTAATTCTGGGATTATTTTAATTGCATTGTGATTGGAAAATATACATTTCCGATAAGTATGCTGCGTTTTATTGTATATAAAGAAAAGTTTTGGGAATATTGATATGAATGACATGATATTTTATTTAACATATTTATTGTCAAGCAATTAGTTATATACGGTCGATCCTTATTGCTCTTTAAGGTACCTGGGATTGATGAGATTGATTACACTTACATAATCGAATAAATTAAAATCTAATTAGAGTTCAGAAAACATTACTCGTACATTAAATGAACATACTCGTATGTAACTTATACCTCTTAATAATATACCTCATTGTAATTCTATTAAACACTTTATGTGATTGGTTTCTAGTTGTTTCAAGATTTTCATGTGACAGGGCAATAAAACTTTATATTTCCCTCTCGTCGGCTTGCTTTTCATCACATTTAACCTCCTCAGAGACATAGTGCATTTCCCACCATAGTTTTTGGTAAAAGAAAACTCCAGAGGGTACTGTAGACGTCACAATAGCCTGGCTCATGTCTCAAAATTTATGATTGTTTTATCAGAATGTAATGTCAGAAACTTTACGTTTAAGTTGAAAGTGAAAATGAGATGGGTGTTGAATTGATAACTTCAGATTTATTTAGGGAATAGGTTTTTTCTGAAGATATCTTCATATTTTCCTCACGATCAGGCAATACATGGTCATAATTATCGATGTATTATGATATTATCAACATTCTTTCTTCTGGATAATTTTTTTGTTTCATCATTGCAAAGAATACAGTTAATTGTGTTTTTTAATAAATACGTAGTAGATTCAAATAATTTTTCTTTCGTATATTGTGATCATGTTTATTTTTTAAATACATGTAGATATATTTGTTTTATTCTTAGATCAAACAGCTGAATTGAATACCAGTAACCCTTCCGAAGCTATAACTTTGCGTTCCATAAATGATTACCATTCAAAGACGATACTCATAGTTTCAATAGGAACGAGTATCGTATGTTTGCTCATCTTGTATATTATCTACGAGATTTATATAAATTGTGTGCCTAAAAAATCTATAGAAGCACCTGATAAAATGGAAAATTTTTACGCAGACCTTGAGGATGTTAATGTTGAAGATAATGTAATAGAAAATGATGAATTAGCTTAACTCAGAAAGTTTTTTCTAACGAAGGAGATAAAACGTTTTATTCGATGTGTCACCGAGAATCATTCTTGAACGTATTTCTTCATCCGACAGAAAATTTGATCATTAGTCAAATCATTAAGTGACCAGTTACAACAGTGATTGGAACATTAAGATGTTTTAGATTAATTTTAATATTTACAAAATTGGGATTTATGATTTGACCGTTTACTACATATAAATAAAAACTCATGTTTTCTCCAGTATTTTCATGTTTTTGTCTTTTTTAATTATGTTTGAAAGCATAGACCAATTTATACATTTAACATGACACTCATTTTAATTTATAATTTATGTAATAATTCATTCAAATGATGCTTCTCATTTTAAACTGCATGATTTTATATATTACTTTCATTATACCCCCGCTTGAAAAGCGGGAGGGTATATAGTTATCGTTAATTCCGTCTGTCTGTACGTCTGTCCGTCTGTTACGCTTTAGGGTACCCATCTCTTATCTGCAACACCTCTTATACCACTGCGTGAAAGAACTTTGTTCGGTTTTAACCAATATTTGCCCCCCAAATCAAACTTTGATGGAGATATATTTAATTAAGTTCTTAAACACGGGAGTATATGCTGACTTCAAAGCACTGAATATTTTCATAAGTAATGACGCCATATGTACGTAATGACGTCACAAACATGACGTAATTTTCAGTTTTTTATGAGTTTTCGAGAAAAAATGTACATATTTCGTAGATATTTTGAGTAAAAGTCAACGAGCTCATGTGTGTTCAGGATCAGTATTTTGATATAATGTGTAGAATGATAATATCAATAAAATATGTCAATATTGTTCCTGAACAAACTATAAATTTTAAAGCTAAAATTGTTGAAATTTTGTCCACTTTGGCCTCTTTCTGAAAAAGGATATAAAATCGGACTAGTTTGTGACGTCATAAAAACAAAAATTGTAAATACACTGCTTTGACACTACAATATTTTCTGTTAATTTATATTTCTAATACAGTTTATTGAAATCAGCACATTTCAAGAAGTTTTCAAAATTTAAAGTTTTGTGGGGGCAAATATATGCAATATACCGCATATAGTTCTTTAATGAAACTTTCACAGAATCTTTATTACATATTGCCATTGTGCACCTTTTATTTTACTTTTTGATCTGACACATATCTTGGGTTTCCCGGCCACGGCAAAACATGGACTTTGTCATCAGTTATAACCATATGGGAGGCGGGGGTTATCATTTAGTGAGCTCATTGCTCACAGTACCTCTAGTTTTTAATTAGTGTTATTTAAAAAAAAATATTTTTTTGTCAGAAAAAATTTTGTTTCATACATTTTTTTTCCAGTAGGATTTAAAATTGTGTACTATGGAGAGACATGACATGCCTTCTAAATGAACCTTAGGAAGCAGGCTTCCATGTCCTGGTCTACATTCAGTGGAATTAAGTGTCTGATGGACTTTGTTAACAAGCTATCTATTTACAAATGATTAGGTGATAGCGATGGAAAGAAAATTTTGCATCGTCAGAATTCAGTTTCTTATTGAATCAGTCGTTAAAGGAGTGCTGATTTTTTCAAAAGGTGGCATAAAATTCATTTTTATTTTCTCAGATCAGACGTTAAGCTAAGAAATATAAATTCAAGGACTGAATGCTTGGTCCTATTGTACTAAGTGTTGAAAATATATATTGAAATCCGTTTTGGAAAAATGTAGGGCAATAGGCAAACTATTTATCCATCCGTTTCACCTAATTCAGAGACTGTTGGAGATTCAGAAAGATCACATATTGATTGAAGCAGACAAAGCTTGTAACTCTACGTCTTTATTTGCATGTACATTTACAACTACTTCTTACTACTATTTTGGAGACATTTTATTTGACCAAGTCTTATATTATAAAATTAAAGTATATAATTTATAGAGTTATCAATTATGCAGGTACGATAAGGCTTCCCAGAGAATATTGTCGTGTACTCTATGTATGCACTTCTCTGAACTACAAATATATGACGTCATAATTGAAAATGGCGTTAAGGCACTGCATACTTGAGCTGTAATAATGGGGAGAGTGTCATAAACTCTACACCGTATTTCAATCTGCATATAAAGTTTCAGAATGCTAGTTTTAAAAAAAGTGTTTTCATCATTTTTTCAAATAACTAAGTAATATATCCGAATAATAATAGATAATTTTGCTTTATTACTCTTGTTTAAGAGTCAGCGTGTTCAAACTACGTACAAAAATATACATTTGACATTTAATTACCCTTTTATATATCTGCGGACAGAGGCAAAATTCATAAGATGTGTATAAGAGAGCTTGGCACAGGTTGTTAATGAGGATTTATTTAATATCTTTTGAGAAAATATGTAAGAGGAGTTTCCCCTTTAATTGAATCCTGCTTCGGAAAAATGTACGATGGCTTTGTTTTAAAACAGATGAAGATATTCAGCGGAAAATACCCTCAGATTTGTCGGTACGTTAAAGTTAATTTGAAATAAGAAATAGTTATATAGTTATATATTTCATATAGTTAATATGAAATAAGAAATAGTATAACTTTTCCCAAGCACATTTCGGTTTCACAAGGATGCAGCGAGTTTATTTATGTGACAAAAAGTTAATGATAATTTTGTTAATAACCTGCGCCGAAGCGATTTATGTGAAACATATTTCAAAAAAGAAGAAATAACCGTCACGTGATCAGCAAGGTCATGTGACATCGTAACAAATATGTTTTTATATAGGCTAGAGGATTCTCTGTATGAATTTGGCGTACTGAAGTACATAACTTACAAATAAACCTCAAAATCATCTTTGCAATGCAGTGTAACGTTTTGAAGGCATTTTAAGCTCCGGGAAGCCTTACCTGTACTGCGTAAGCTTCCAGTTTCAGAAGGCCAGGACTATTTCCCGAGGAACAGCAACGGTAAATAGTCTTGTTCGAGGGAAACTTAAGTGTAAAAAAAATACATATAAGCAATGAATCAATATTTGTTGAAAGATATAGTCTCCTAACTGCAATGGTGTGCGCTAACAAAGGATGTATTCGCTATGGCAAAAGAATTGAACTACAGGTGAGAACAATTTCCCGGAAAAAGTGACATTTAAATATTAATCTTTATTTGTTGTTTTCTACCGTATATATACGTAAATTTTTCAAATTTGTATTTTATACCTAAAATTTATTATTTACAACTTTACAATAAACCTCCAAAGTTGGCTGAAACACCAATTTGTCCGTTAGAGCGTTAATTTTTGCATGAATTTTGGCCTAGAAGTCCTTCAGGGTAGGCCTGCCCCTAGATAAAATTGTGATATTTTGATAGGTTATGATGTAAGGAATGGTTTAAGATAGGATTTTTATGGGGCACCCCTGCTCTAGGGTCGAAATTCACAAAAAAAACCTACAAAAAATAAGGAAACCTGATTTTGAAAATCTTCTCCAAATTTATACGAAGTATATTTATTTACGGACTAACTCAGTTGATACTTGTATATGAGTTGGTTTTACAACGTGAATTGCTTCTTTTTAAAGTCGCGGGTGCGAATCCACCTGGCACCACACTTTTAAAGTTTTAAATTTCGCCTTTTCAAAGACTATTTGAATATTTTTAAATAGACTTGTTCATTTTCTTACAATTATTCATCCTTTATGTATGCCCATTTTTTGATACAAGAAAAACAAAAAGATGTCAAATCCTAACAATCAAATATACAGTTGGCAGTCAGGCGGAACAAACCTCAGAATAAGCACAATTTCTCCGAGAACAAGAAAAACTCACTCTGTGTTACTCAATGCAGGTATTCTTGGAAGTATTGAGCTGCGAAGAATTTCAATATTATTGTATATATTCCTTAGAATTTAATCTAATTGATTTTGGCCACATATATCAGTAACTGTACTCCCTTGGATTTCATATAGGCCTACATAATTTGCACAAATTAATGACATCTTTTATTATATCCAAGGATAAATAGCCTAGACATAAATAATAGAATTCAGAGACAGTAGCCATTACCATTATGTAGCATTTCGACTGACCGCTAGGGGGAGGAAACGAACGACAACTCAATCATCAGCGGTAGTGGTCTTTTACTGTGTTAGAGTGTGTCCGGGTTATACAGATACGCACCACTTCGTGTTTCGCATGAAAGACCTTTATCTGGTTTGTGACATTGCCTTTACCAGTAAAAATAATTTTCTATAGGTATTTGGTGAAATTATTCTATAATAGTTTTACTGTATACATGTATATAATTAGATTAAATGTAAATGAATTTTAAAAATACATGTCTAATATGTACGACACAAGAAAATATTTTTTTTTACATGTTCTGCTTGCTCGAAGTTGCTCGCCAACTAAAAATTAGGGGAAATGTTTACAAAGGTCATGTGAAAGTTACACGTTCTATAAATGTGAAAATTTTTGTAAATCTTTTTTAACCTATTGACGTGGTATTCTGTTGTTAATTTTTTTTCTTCATCGGGATCGGAGGTATCCTTGGTATTTTCATGATTTGTATAGAATAAAGTGCTGACAGTTCAGAATTCCTATAATTGTCGCATGTCTGCGGTGATTTTCATTGATCTTTCTGTGGTGATATATCCCATATCACATATGCGATAATACTTTCCACGCCCCTTCATATATCACTGCAGGAGGCAGAAATCAGGTCATGAGCAAAAAAAAAAACTGATTTTATTTCACAAGTTCAAAACTACAGAAAAATGAACATGTTTAGCTATTTCTTAACTTTTAACTACATGTAAATTAAAATACCCGGTACATGTATTTAACTCAGTTGAATGTTCCCAGTCGCTCAAAAGATCAATCCATTTTGAAAGTTACGGTAAAATATCCAAACTTTACAGCGTTCAACTCCTTGATATTTGTTTATGTGATTTCATATTTGTCGAGTGCCTGGATAAAAAATAAATCGTCAAAATCTTCAAACCCAGTAAAAAAGTCAAAGTCAAATTCACTAAAA